GCTGCCGCAGTGGGACCTCTGCCTGCCTGACCCCAGTCAGCCCAGAGAGCTGCCCCCCTGCAGGCAGTGTGCTGCCTTTACATGGGTGCAAGGAGAGCGCACTGCTGAGCGCCGGCAGGGTTGTACTCACTGGGATGACTGTTGTACTCACTGGGATGATGCCTTCAGCATGTAGCTGGCCTCCCGGTCATCTGCATTCTCCAGCAGCCTCAAGATGAAGACGTTCGCCAGACTCTGCCCCTGGTCTTCTAACTCCTCCACCCGAAGAAGCCCCCGGGGAGCAGAGTCAAACACTTGGTACTTGTCCCTGGGTGAGGTTAGAGAGGAGATGAGGAAAAACTGCAGTTATCCCAGGAGACATTGGCTTCAGCCACCCAGAACTGTACTGAGGACACAAACCAGGAACTGCTGCATGGCAGGAGGAAAAAGGATGTCCTGCTGTGGGAAGGGATGAGTGGGTGGTTATGAAAACCCACTGCAAAGAAACCCTCTCCTTGCTCTGCTTTAGACATCCTACATGGCCTAGAACAAGTTGCTTGCTCTGTCTGAGCTCCTCACGTACAAAACACAGACGGTGCTCCCTCAAAGGGGACTGTGAGGCTTAATTCATTCCTATTTGTAAAATGCCTCTGTGTTTTCTGGATACAAGCTGCTGCAGAAGCAAAATATTTCCAGGCATACAGACACTATGGCGACATGTTTATGAGAAACACTGAACTGGCAAGATGCTCCCTACCAGTGAGTCTAGTTAATGCTACAAAGAACACACTGTTCTCCGGGACCCATCTGTTTGTGCTGCTGTATTTCACTACTTTCTAGTTGCACCAGACCTAGTCCTAAGCATGATGCCATTCTCCTCTTCCTGAGGCAGGTTACACCATGTCAAATATAACCACTAGCCTCAGGCCTAAATATATACCCCTTCCTGCTACTCAGATTTTCTAGCCTGCTTTCTTGGAAGTTTGACTGACTAAAGCTGAGCTGTTCTTCAGGCAGCGATGAGTCAAAAAATCACTTCTTGACAGGAAGACAGGCCTCCTCCGTCAGCCCACCAGTTGATGTAACTCATTGCAACTCTGCAGAAACTGGTGGATATGTGCTTACTTACCCTGCTGGGAGACCTGGCCTGGAATCTGTTTGAGTCCTGTTTGCTGTAAATTTTCAGCTGGAGAGAACTGTGCCACCCATGAAAAGTCAACTGTGCTCAAAGACAAGGTGACTGCTAGAGAGGCATGTACAGGTCAGGCCAGGATGCCCTCCCTGTGCCTGGGGGACAAGATGGGGGCACAGCATCACAGCTTGGATAAACCCAGAAACCCAGGGGCAAATAGGATTAACGAAGTGGCTCGTGTACTACCTGAATTTTGCACTCACCCAGGAATTTGCCGGCAAATTACCAGCAGATCATTGAAAAGGAACAAGTAGATTTCTCTGAAGAGTTTCTTGGTGCGAAGCGTTCGTGATGTCTTTGGACCATTCATTTGCTGCAATTCCCCCTGCTTCAGCAGCCAGCGGGAGTGAGAGATGATGGGCACAGACTAGAAGTGAGGAAAACATGACAAAGATCAGGAGAGCAGCAAAAACCCCTGGGCTTATGTGGTCAAGATGCTGAAAGCAGCAGGTAATGCAGAAGGAAGGGCAGTGAGCTCCCATGACCACAACTTCCACTGTAGAGGATGGAGCAGAGCTGGACAGAGAGGCCAGTGTGCTCTGCCATCCACGCTGCAGCCCAGCACAGAGTGTAACAGAGCTCAGACAGTGACGCAGCAGGGGCCCAAGAATGAACAAACGCTCAAGGACAGCGATGCTGGAGTGCCAAGTGCTGGACTTAAACACTGGGCTGTGCCCTACACAGTGTGTTCTGCCTCTGGGAGATCCCATGTCTCATCATGTGGGCTGAGCCTTTCTGGCCAGGGAGACTGACTTTCAAAATGTGTATTTGGCATTTGGCTACAAAAAGCCCCAGGTTAAATGGGTTCTCACTGGTCGGGTCTGTCCCAGCCAGGAGGAGATGATGTGCATGCAGCCACAACAGCATTTCTGCTAGAGTTTTACAACATGTTGTCTTAGAAACAAGAAGCCCAGAACAAAGCACATCTTATATTAGAAGAACACTACCCTTCCAGTCAAACGACTGAAATACTGGAAAACATCTGCATAACCGCTACTCCTTCTACCTTCACTCCCTCCCTGTGTTCATGTGCACGATGGCACAGTCTTTCTTTCCACAGCCTTGCACTCTTTTCACCAGAGAAGCCCTGCCTGCAGCAGTGCCCAGAGCAGACCTGCTCCAGGGATGAACCAGCTCCTGCCTGTCATTACAGGCTCAGCTTTACAAGGTATGAAGGCAGCCTTGTAGCTACCCCAATCTAGTGCTGTCCTGTGGCCTGGCCCTGACACACTGGTAAAGTGCCCTGGAAGAAACAAATTCTTGGGTGCCCAGTGTGGCTTTCCAAACAAATGGTCTCAAATTTTTTGCTTTGGTTGTTCAGGTACACAAAAACGTTGCTGGAAAGCTAAATCTGCTCCTTAAAATCTGTGAAGCAGACAGATCTGAGAAGCATCTCCATAGCACTCAAGAAAAGAATGGGTAACTTTATACTTAGTACTGGAGCTTCCTGGCATATATTAAATGAGATCTGGTCAGACACCCCTAAATATTGACTCAGTCATTCCCTGGGTGGAGCCAAAATAGATCCTCAGCAGGTAATTACAGACTGTACATCATGCATAAATGCAGGGATGAATTAAAATTGTGGGACAGTGTTCATTTTGGTATTTTCCAGCTTTAAAGTGTTTTGCTTTGTAGCTTTCATCTTCCTTTAACATGATTTGTAATGTAAAACAACAGCTGAAAGCTGATCTGCATTTTGAAGAGAAGTGAGAGGGAAGAGCCAGAACTGAGTGCTGGAGCAGGAGCCACTCACTGCACACAGCCAGTTTGATGCCAGCGTGTCATATCTGTGTACATGCACAACACGATGGCCTCAGTGCTGCCCTGGCCTCTGCAGCACATGTGCAAGGAGACCACACGCATGGATGCAGTGCTACAGCATCAGCATCCCCTTCAAAGGCTTTGGAGAGGGACAGCGTGGGCAGGCCACCACTGAACACTCACTAAAAGGAGTGCAACTAGGTTACTGTTGCCACGTATGTGCACATGACACCTGGATGTTGTCAGTTTGCTGTGTGCAAAGGGCTACCAGCCTATATTTATACCTTGATCTTGAATTCCAGTTTCTTCTGGATGCTGATCATCTGCTCTGTTCGGCTCATCTTCCTGACACCTTCATTACATGCTTTCACCACCTGGGAAAAAGAGAGTAGAAAGATTTGCCTCCATTAGCCTTAAGCAGGTGATGAAAGTCCTGACCACAACAGGGTAAGTGGCCTGCTGTGACAGGAATTGACTAAGCCAAGCTCTTGTATCAGCACTGTATTCATGTGAAAAACAGAAAAGAAAAACCAAAACAAACAAAAAAAACAAAAAAAACCCCATCAACCAATAAAACGCCAAAAAAATCCAGATGTTACAGCTGGAAGCTGACTATCAAGAGGACATATTAGATGGCTGCATTCAGTTACTGAACCAGACAGTATTAAGCAATACTCCTGGTCACACAGCAAAGGGAACAGCTCATTTTCCAGATTCTGACATACCATGTATCCCATCTTCCCCTCCCTCATCCCCAACACTCGAAACGAGGTACACGCACAGTATCATCTTTAAGAAGAGAATGAAGCTAAAGATCTTCATTTCAAAGATGCAGATGCTGTGGTTCTGCAAAGCAACACCAGATGCCAAGGCTATGAAATGTCCCAGGGAAAAAAAGAGACGTTCATCATATAGAGCCCAGCTGTGTTCCGAGTACAAACTTCTAACTGAAAAACCACAGCCAATGTGCAGGCACTATCCTATTACAGGGACCTTAACCTAGATGCCACTGCCTGTTTCATAAGGAGCAACTCTCTTGAGAATTGGCTAGGTAGAAAAATTACACTGGAGAACAAGCTCCACTTTGTGCTCTGTTTCTGCTACTCAAAATTCACCAGAATATCAGCATGAAACCATGATCAGCTCTTACCTCTCAAATAGGATATCTAGAGAGAAAATAAGTAGTGGATGATCTCTGTTGTGATGCCTGTGCCTGGCTGGACATTAGGCATCTAAACTTAAATTCTTACAGATATGGAACCATGCAAAGGGAATGATGAATTCACATGAAATTGATCATGTCAATCTCTGAGAGCTGACTATAAAAAGAGCAATTTTTCCATCAGCAGTTGTAGTCATCTGCATACCACAGGAACAGCCTTCCTCAGGCTTTTGACCAATGGAAAAACAATCAGCTACCAGATACACCATGAAGAATTCTGCAAATACTAACTACTGCTGAACATCCTTCATTGCTAAGGTCTCTGTGTTTACCCCTAACGATCTCCAAAGCCTACACTTCCTAGACTAGCTCACGTCAAATACAAGAGCCCATTTTGTTCTAGTATTTCAGTCAGAAGCTGCAACCATATCTTCAGGGTGACATTCTAGCATGGTTTTCAACTTCAAATACTTATATACTGAACTGCAGGATTCAAGAGATGTTCCAAAGTTCTGATGGAGAAGGGTTCACACACTCCATCCCAGCCCATGCAGCCGCCAGCTACATCCAGACCGTTCAGATACGTAGCCTGGAGGTGGGATCGCCCTGTCTGATTGTGTCATGAACAGCCCCCACAAAAAACATCCCAATGCCTTCTTGGTGTTTTGTGCACAGCAGTAACTAGCACAACTAAACACCACACCTACCTACCAGCTTCAGGGAAGAGGGCTAAGAGCAGGCTTGAGTACTTCATTAAGAAACTGTTATTCTAGGTCAGAGGAAGAAGTGTACTTTATTGGAGGAAACCTGGCACAGTTGTTCTCAACTGCCTGTTGCAGCTAATTACATCTCTCTGTGGGATCCATCACTTTCAGATATCTGCAAAAACAATTTGTATTCCTGGAAAACCCCAAGGGAAAACACTCTCTGTGCCCTTTCCTGCAGTGGAAACGTACACATCTGTTGTTAGCAAGGGATTCCTTGTCACTGACATCTAAGTGCTGCTAGATTAGTCCATCTTTGAGAGCAAGGAAGACTTAAGAAAAAAAAAATCTACTCTTGAAACACAGTAACAGGATTTAAAGGGACAGGTCCAGGAGTGAATGCAGTTTGTAGATCTTTTGGGGAGGGGGCATGAGCACAATGGTTTAATCTTAATGGCCTTCAGTTAACTCATTCAAACTTACTGTTTCCAGTTCTTTATGTGCATCCAGGGCAGTGGTTTCCCTGTCAGACTTCTCTTCCACTTTCTTCAAAATATTCTGCAGGGGAGGAAGGTCTGTGTTAACTCCGATCCCAATCTGACAGCACAGAAAGGTCTTCGCTAGCCTCAGAGTTATTTCTGGCCATCAGCCTAATTACAGGCTAGGTGTCAGAGTACAGCAACTCTCACTTCTTAGTTCCTCTTTCTCATTAAAACCTGTTCCCATCTGACCTTATATCTGAAAGAAATATAGCAGGCAGATTCATCTTTTATAAAAATAAATTAATAAATAAAAATAGCTAGAGCTGACACTAAGGGACAGTGTTATTTGTAATCCCAGTGGGATAAAACCGTTTGGGACTGAGCTGTTACCTCATCCCTAGAAGCATATCCTCCAGCAGTGTTTAGACAAGCTGGCAAAGCATAGGGGGAAGATGGCTGGCAGTCTGGTCCAAGCCACCATGATGCAGGGTATTATACATGGAGCATTTCCATGTCCTGCAGCTGTTCTGTGCTGTGCATCTGTGTGTCAGCATCCTAACCACCAGGCAGCTGGGTTAATGGACTGTTGCTACCCTTTCTAGCAGGTCAACAAAGTTCGTCCTCAACTCTTTTGTTCAATAAAAGCTATCTGACCAATTCAACACTAATCTGGGGATGGTCACTGAGTGACTGAAGTCTTTTTTTTTTTCCGTAGTTGTTGAGAATGTCTGACTCTGTGGAATGGCTTTATCCAGTTCTAGGGTTGATCGTGGCTGTATCTAAGCCTCATTCACAACTGCTGGAAAGGAAAATTACAGGAGTAATCCAGAAGACCTTTGGGAGAGGGAGAAGAGCAAAACTCTACCTGCACCAGCAGCTTGAGCCGAGTGATCCTTTGAAATGGCAGAATCAGGAAGGAAGAAAAGGACAGGCCTTTGCACTTGGGATCCAGCTCCAGCTGCGAGATCACTTCCCGGAAAGCTGGCTTGTCCTGGCTGAGAGGAGGGAGAGAAGGTAAGGGTTTTGGGTGCTACCCTGCCTGAGGCTCTGGTATATGGCTGGTGACCCAAAAGCAGCTTGGTCCCAGAGACAGCACCTGCCTGGCCTTTCCCAAGAACAGAGAAGAGGAGAGAAGGGGACTGAATGCTTTTAGGTGTATTTTAGTTTAATTTTAGAACTATTTATGGTGTTGGGGGAGGGAAAAATAGACTTTTAATGTAGAAGCCATGTAGTGTTCACATGTGTTAGCACATCTAGCTCAGCAGCATACGCTGTGTGCGTAGGTGTGTGTGAATGGGGTGTATGTCCAAGTAGATGAGTCAGAGGCATAATTATATACTTCTACACAGTTGGAACTCTGTGACAAGGCGAAATTCACACAGTTGTAAGAACAAGGCAAGCTACAAAACAGCCAGGCTACTCCTGGCTGCTTAGCTGGAGGATGGAAATCATCATCTGGCCTGAGAAGGACACAGGCCATGTCCAGGCCTTCCCTGATGGTGTTTGCAGATGAGGGCATTGCTGGGCCATGGACACAGCTGCACAGAGCAGCCTCACAGGCCCCAGCTGCCATAGTCAAAGACAATGCTTCCTGACAACTGCACGGCCCTAAGGAAGATTTACAGTGCTGGAGTCCTGGCTAGCAGAAACAGCATGGATGTGAAGAGATTGCTAACTCTGCCAAAACCTGTCTTTACCGTGTGTGACTCGCAACATCCAAGAGAAGCCATTATAAGTGTTTTTCCCTGCTGCAGCAGGTACTTGTGTGACTCACCAGAGCCACAGCAGAATGGAGACCTGCATGCATCTGAGGAACAGCCAAATGGGGGGAACTGACACACCTCAGGCTTCAAGTTCAGCCAAGTGCTGCAAAGTTCTTGTGCTAGCTAGGAGTCTGTGGAAGGGACTCTATTCTTTTCAGTTTGCTTTATGTTCTCCTGTAGATGAAAAAAATGCTGCCCTCTAAATTCATATCTCGAAATACCTCTGTCTCCAACAGGTCCTTTTCAAGCCCAAATAATCCAGCCTATTGCTGCTTCATTTCTGAGTGTTTAGCTAATGGCTCTAGGCAAACTGGTTATATTCTGACCAAAGGAAACCCTGCAGTAACCTCTTTTTGGAGAGAACAGTTGGCCAAGCTCAACAGAGGCCACTTAAAGCGGGTTGGGTTTTTTTGCCGCAAAAGCTGGAGAGTGGAGAAAGGAAGTGATTAGGGCTTCCTACACTCCCCTGAACCAGCTGCTGCTATGGCGAAGAAATACAGTGCAGCATGTGCAATGGGCTGTCCTGAAAAAATCCAGGACATTGTAACTAAAGAAAAATTAATTCTCCTACTTAAAGGTGAGCTTGTAGGGCAGTCTTTGTTTTGAGCTGGCATAAGACAATTCTTACCGGACCAAAAGACTTGCTAAACTTGAAAAATACTGCAAAAATGTCTTGGATTATATCCTCAGGCCTAAGTAATGTCTGTGTGTGTAACATCAGAATGTGAAGAAAATACCTTTTTTTTTTTTTCTTTTAAGAAAATTTTGTTCTGGAAAAAAAAAATTCTCAACTTTGGGAAGATCAAATGCCTTGCCGAGAAGCTTGGGAAAAGCAGGGGCTGCTCTTGTCATCAGAGATCTGTGTTATATTCTTGGCCTTTCAATTTCTTGCCTCTACTTGCAGTTCAAAAAAATGTACATTTCACAAGCATGGGTCCCCATGTACACCATAAATATTTCCCACAGCTGAGAGGGAACTGCTGGCTCTGAATTTACTTGGTATGTTTCTTGCATACTGTTATCACCCCACCCTTACTACAAAGCCTTTTAATGGTGTTTTCTTTCTGTAGGTGCAATGAAAAAACAGTGACGAGGGAAATCCTGTTTCTGTGCTGTCCAGCCCTTTCTCATAAGTATCGAAATTACAGCTAAATCCGTGGCCTATATAATTTTGCAAAATAATTTAGCATCAAGCACTGGAACTCACAGAAGCTGCTTGTAAGCTCTCTCCTGGTAGGTCTGGTTGGAAACGTAGGTGATGTACACAGAGAAGTGATTAATCGTATGCTGGTAGACAATATCGCACACATCTGAGATCACAATATTCTCCTCCACCCGCTGCTCGAGGTCCAACAGGAAGCTAGATGAGAAACCCAGTGCTCATGTTAATTGTGCCCTGAAGAAGCCCTTGAGGGTTCAAAGCAATGAATGTGTCCACAGGCTCTTTGAAAAGCCAGTGGGTAGCAGACTGCCCCTAGTCAGCTCCTCTGTCCCTCTACAAGTGAGGTTAGCTAAAGCGATGCTATTCAGCTGGACAAAAATCCAGCAGCAGTCTTACCGCTCACTAACAGCCATGACATCCAGGACATTAGAGAAGAGGATGTGTGCCTCAGACTGGTGTAAGATCTTTTTCAGACGTTCGTTCTCCATGAAGTGAGACACCAACAGATTCAGACTCTTGTAATACGAGGCTTCGGAAGTAACCAGCTCAAACATGGCCTGGAGGAGAATCCCAAAGAAGGAAATCAGCAGGTACCTTCTGCAGAGGCGTACACACGACGTTAATGAGAACATCTGTGCTGCACACAGTCATAGACCTTGCACCCACCCTCCAGGCCCAGAGTATGGGGAAAGGTAAGCCCGCAATGGCGTTTGCCACACGGTACACAGGATAGTGACTTGAATGGGGAAGATTTTCTCCCTCAACCTCCCTGGCTCCTTCTGTCTCTCTCCTAAGCTGTTTGACCACATTTCCTTCCGTTCAATCTCTCCAGCAGATTTCTCACTTTTTCTCATTGTATGTAAGCAGCCTGATTTTGTGCATGGGCACACATAAAAGCACTTCACAGGCTCCCCTCTTCCTTCTTAGTGTCACTGAGGCTTGACCTGAGGCTGCCCCAGGCACTGGACCCCCGTTATGCCCACTTGTCATGGTCCTGCACTTTCATCTCCCTTTCGGGGCGTTCCCCCTGGTAGCCTCCATGCACCCTCCAAGCTCCTGCTGATCATGACAGTGCTGGCTTGTATCTCTCCTCATTGTGGCTTATTGTGCTACCCAGGAGGGTCTCCTTGCACCCTCTATGCTCTCGTTTTAGAAAAGCCACAATGTAGGGGCTGGGCTGTACAGGATCCAGCACGCTGCAGTCTCTGTGTGTGACACATGCTCCTTTGGCCAGAGCTAATACAAAGATACAGCTGTGGTGCTCCAAGCCCCTGTGTGTTCGCTGATCCAAAGGAAATGCAGCTGCTACTGTCCAAGTGGGGCTCCCTGGTCAACCCCAGCCATACACTTTTCTGACACAACTCACCAAGGACTAGCACAAGACACGGACTCCTTAACTATTACTGTAAGCCATAAATATTCTCTAAATTCCAGCCCTTGCTTCTCCTGTTAAAAGTGAAGCCTCTGGTGCAAAGCCTGTCTTTCTCAGCCAGGGATGTGGTCTGGGGAAGCAGAAAAACAAATTGATGGTTTGGTTCAGAGATAAATCACAAGTTAATGAGATGACCTTCCACCCACAGCAGGCGCCACAGAGTCCACTATTACCACACAGAGCTCACTTACTCTCCAGGCAAGTGTTTGTTGTCTTTGTTCAGCAGTAGATAAAAAAGGTGATTATTTACACAACTATTGAATCTGTTAGTTGCAGTAAGATTAATTGAAGATTCTCACAAGGGCTTCAACATGGTGAAAAATCATTAGATCCTTCAGACACGTCTTGATGAAGGTGTGTCTTGGGCTCCTTGTCCTGAGGCTGGCCCATGCTGCCACTACTGAAAGAGGAACCCTTTGGCAGCCCGGTGAAAGTCTCACTTCCTTGAACTTAAAGCTGCTTCGACCCTTGAGCCCAAGCTCCCCCATGGACCACAGCTCCTCTGCTGCATGTTGGTGAGGGTGTGTGAAGCAGTGCAAGTCCCTGAGCTCCACCAGCTCTCAGAGGCTGCATGGGACCCATCAGAATTGAGGAGATTAAATGGAGCAGCAGGTACATGCAGTAATTTTTGTGCTGCGCATATGGAAAAATACCTTCCAAATTAGCTGGGGGTTTGTCTTTTGGCTTGGCTGTTCTTTTTTAGTGGGTTGGTTTGCTATTTTGGTTTATTTTCTTTCTTAAGAAACTATTTGAAATCTCTGCTGATCAGTTTTTGGCCTTTTCCAGGAAGTATCACTAATGCATCACAGAAGGACCTGAGCTGGGTTACGTTCCTGACACTATGCTGCAGTCCAAGATCTGGGAGGATGGACACAGCGAGGAAGGACTGTTATCCAATCCAGAGCTGCTAAAATATCAGCTGAAGTGACATTGCAGTTCTTTGTGGGTTTGGTAGCCTAGGAAATATCCCCAGTGGCCAGTTAAGTCAAACAGGTGGTCCTTTCCTGCACCAGCGAAGGAGGTTGTGCCTCCACGGCCCCCAAAAGGGTGCAGGTAGAAATGAACGTACTTGGTCAGTGTACGTAGAACACCTGGCATTTAAGGAATAACAGGGTGCTTTATTTTTTTTCAAGGCCAGATTCCCAATGAGAAAAGTAGAGGAGTATCAGCTCAGCTTCTCCCAACAGCTTCACCAGGGCACCTGGTGAACCTGAGAGAGAAGCCCTCTCTCCCTCTGTGTGACTGGCTAGGTCCTAAATGCACCTCTTGCAGCTTTAACTATAGCTTTTTATTTGATAGATGAGAGAAGAGGAAGTAGGTAAAGATACAACAAAAAATAAAGACATGATGTGCTGGGGCAGCCTGTCCCTTCCAGATATCCTGGGGACTGACACCACCAGTCATTTTGCACTGCAGCTTTCCAGACACTCCAAGCCAGGATGTATTTTCTGCCATGGCTTTGAATGCAGGATGTTCATAAAAGCCAAGATCAAGATCTGCCACTCTTCCATAGCCTTTCAACCCTCAAACAACTCGCTTCATCTAGAAGGTTGTTTCCTGATTTGTAGAGGCCCCTCTGCCTATGGTTGGAGGAATTAATTTGTGTACATTTGCTGTTCACCACAACGGATGGTGCATGACCTGCATGGGCATGTGCAGAGTGCAAGCCAGACCAAGGAAATGATTAAAACCATAGTGAAAATGTTGATACACAGGGTTCTGATTTAAAGGAGATGCCAGGAAAGTAAAGAATATCAGTGATCAGGATAAGCTTCTGGAAGTGCTCACAGCATGTGTAAGGCACAAGTTTCTTAATTTACTTTGGAGATCCAGCTGGTCCTCTGCAGACCCAAAGTACCTACTCCAAGGAGCCCAGACTGCTGTTTCCCTTTTGAATGATAAGTATGAGCAGCAAACCTCCTACATGGGCACCAAATGTCCAACCATGCGGTGTAATGATAGGATCTCTGTGGAATAACTGTACTTCGCTAGTTCTAAGCAGCCACTACAAAAAAGAGCATGAGCTTCTGGTCTCAGAATTGCAAAAATAACTAGAAAACAATTTGAACTAAACGTATATTGATGTAATATTATCTTCCTGAGTCTACAAATAGTCTGAAACTATCTCTTGGAAACATGACCAACACTGTTCAATCAGTCCTCTGGGTCATTCACTTCATGAAATCTCATAGTCATGTAAAAGCTATACTAATAATTTTCATTGCTTATGTTTTGGCAGAGATACTGAGAAAGGAAAAGAGAAATGAAGCCTAAGGAAGAAGGAAATGTAGAAGATAAAAACTAAGAGTCACCAAAGACAAAAGTAAACCTACAGGCTAAATTCCTCTTGAGACAATATGATGTTTTATTGCATAGATTGGAAAGATCTACTCCCAATGGCGCTGCTCTTCACATAAATCACCAGGTAAGAAGGAGGAATTCTGGTCTAGGGATGTTGCTCTGAGGAGGGATGTTGCTCTGAGCCGATGCCATGGCGTTGGCTGTGACCAGCTCTCAGACCTGGTTGCCTTCACAGGGCCAATCTGACATCCACCTGCTAGAAGTGCAAAGTCCAGCACAAGAGCTCTCTGGAAGAGGGCAGCTCCATTGTAGAGCAAATTTAGAGGTTTGAAATCTAACGTTTGCTCAAAGAAGGAAAGGAAATTAAATCTTACTTGGACATTTTTGTGAAAAATGGGACAAGAAAGACAGACTGCCTACCTGTCAAACACACTCTTCCACAGAGAGGCTGTGTCACCAGCACACACAACCAGGTTCAAGTCCCTCTTTTGCTTGAGCAAAGAAAATTTTCGGAACAGCAGCTCTCTGATCTAAATTCACACCATAATTCACGGTGCAGATTAGTGTGTCTCTGCCCCTTTTCTAACACCAAAGTGACCTGAATCCAAACAATCCCTGGCAAAAACTGTATCAAAGCTCACACATCTCAGTAAAAAGGGTCCAGTTCAAAGATTGAGAATACTTTGCTAAACTATTTCGATCAGTAAATTGTTTTTGGCGAGTTCCACTCAGCTTGGAATCTCCTAAAACATAGAAGATGAACACCACGTATAAAAATCAATACAGTTAGCAAGCAGAAAAGGGCAAAATGAAGAAAATACACAGTAAATAAAACAAGGACAAACTGAAAAGTAGAGAACTGAACTGGGAAAGGGGTATAAACCAGAGCCACTCCACAAAAAGGCCACACCAATATCTAATTTAAGGTATATGCTGAAAGAAGTTTCACTGATTAAATGTTGTCTCTTCTAATCTCTGGGTACCTTGGTGACAGAATTTGTTTCCACCTAAATCGCATGTAATACAGGGAGTGCGTTTTCTCTCTAGTTGCTTGTTCCTCCTGCTACATACATGTTGCCTGTCATTTCCTCCACGTTGACTTCACATCAGAACCCAAGCAGCATTTCTTTTGGCTTGTTCTTCTTGCTTCATTACATTTTCTATACAGTTAAAAGAAAGCCCTTGGTGATTCACGTTTTGCTGTGTTTGATGCTCAACAGATGTCTGGAGAATTAAAACTACCCTATCAATAACTTAGTAATTTCTGATATTATTCCAGTAGCACGTAATTTTCATATTTCCCTGACCTCTGTGATCTGTAACATGTCTTTTGCTTTTTCTTTTGTTCTTCCTTTGTGACACCTCCAGTTGTTGCTTTACATCTTGCTACTCTCACCTTGGCTTCAGATGAAGAAGGCTGGTGTGGCAGAGGCCATCGCTGTCTGAATTCTGCTTGAGTTCCAGAGCTAATGGGCCATGCTGCAACATTTTTTTGCTGAAATTGCTGGGGGGTGGATGTGGGGTTTGGGTTTTGCTTTTTTTTTTCCTCCCCGAAACTCCCATTTTCTAGCTCATTTGTTGCAATGGGGACAATGACAAATTGCCTTCCATGACACTTTTCAAGCATCCATTTCTCTTCCAGTTAATTTTCTTGTTTTGATGCTTGAAAAACACCTGTGTCTTGTTTTCTAGCTTGTATTGATAACCTGCTTAGTCATTTTCCATCATCACCAATAATGAAGACCAGATTTCTCCTCTTGTTCTTGACTCTTTCATTTTGCAGCTTACTGCAAATGAGCAACTTTTCCTCTGACTGTTTAAGCTCTGCTCCATCACAGCTATGGCGGTGTTCCCTTCCTCAGCTGTCAACAGGGTGTTTGCTTCAACTTTCCTTCCATTTGGGTACTGGTGTTCCTCCCTATGGTGTAAATAATATGCTTGGTTTACCTTTTCTGGTGGAAGAGCTGCAAACTCTGCTAGTCCCTGTGGTTTTCCACAGCTTTAAGATAAAATGGGTCAGAAAGGTACAATTTTGTCTTTAAGACACTTCCTCCAGAATTTCTGCTGCCCTCTATTTCAAGTAAATTCCTCCAGTCCTCCTTCATGAAGCTGAACACTTTACATTCACTTTATCAAGCCCTCATGTACAGCTCACACTCCCAATTCATATCCAATGTGAGTACAGTTCCAGCACTGCAGGAGCAAGCAGTTCTTGCTTATGGCAAGGCTGAATTCAACATCATCTCTTTAACTGCCTCAGTGATTTCTCCAGCCATCCTTGTTTTCTGTCCTTGACTCTCCTCACAAAGCAAATTCTCCACTTTATCTATTCAGTGTTCAGCCAATTTCACAGCTTTCTGGCTTTGAGCAATTTTATAATCTCTTACTGTGCTAATCCCAGAACAAACAGGAAGAAAATGTCAGCTCTGATAAACTAACATCAGGGGAAAGCACAGCACTTCTTTAAGGCAGCACTGTCCCATCTCCATCTGCTTTATTTCTCTTATTTAAGCAGAGAGAAGAAAATTCAGCACACTTAATGTTGGGGTTTAGCAGCACAGAGATTATTTCCTCTCTGAGGAAAATTCCTCAGCGATTAAAACACCTACAGGCAATGAATATAACTCACCAGAAATGGCAGGTTTGGAAATCTATAATGCAAACTTTTAAGCAAATGTTTCTCTGTAAAAGACTCTTCATTTTGAAGCAGAAAGAAGGAAAAAATCTTGTAATTTTTCAGATACCAGATTGTGTTTGTAATGCTGGCAGTTAGAAGTACCATGTTTTGCCAGGTAAACAGAACAAATCTGATATGGAAATAACCAGTGCAGAAGAACCTTCAGCCATAACCCTGATGCACTAACAGCCTGTGCTCCCCAAGCTCCCCTGCACAAACACCAGTCCCTTCCACTAAGGGTGTAAGTAACACAGCCCTGCCCATCACACCCCTGCTGTTCACAAGATGAGCCTTTCCACTGTAACAGCCTTTCCAAGTTACAGCCTTGGCCAGGACTAGGGTGGCACTGTATACAGAAGGGATTCATAAATGTTGACTGTGCAAATCCAAATAAACTTAGGGGGAACTGCTCACACTCCGAGATGTTCTTCAGCCCTTTGGGTACAATCTCATGAGTCAAGGCTGAACAGATACAATAATCTCACCAGAAGCAATCCTGGTGCAGGAGAGTAGTAGGAGTCACAGGACCAAGCCTTTGAAGGCCCAGTGCTCGTATTACAACGCACAGAAGACACTAAACAAGGCTTGTTCATCTCTGCTGCTGGCTACGAATGCAGTGCTATGCATTGACAAAGAGCACTCATGCTCCCCACGCTATCCAAAATAGCAACCAGTTGTAAATTGTCGTGTGACTGATGTTTTCATTAATCACTCCTTTCATTGTTTGATGCAGCCCTATAAATTAACAGGGTATAACTCTTAAACAGTGATGTCACTGTACTGTAAGGCTAAAATGCATATATACCTGTTGTTATTTTTTACTGTTTTGTGTAAGACTCCAAGTAACATTTAAAAATAAGGAAGTTCATCAATCTCCATCTCTTCCCTTTCCATTAATGCCATCATATTTAAAACAGATTACAGTTAATGGCTGAATTCTTCTAAGATTTCTGGTGGAAAGTATGTATCCTGCTAATAACTTCAGAAGAGGATTAATGTACACTGGGAACCAAAAGCTCTATTGCAAGAGCCCCTTCATTATCCCTCTTCCTTCGTAAATTGCTCCTAACACTGAATAAAAGGGAAAAGAAGTTATTTTTTTTGCTGCAGAAATGTCCAGCAGCAATAGCGTATAGAACAACATCTGTAGTTTCAAAAAGAGTGAGTGGTGCTAACCAGTGCAACACAGAAAAGTACTTAGCAGGGCAAGGCTTGTCTGTGACTGCTATGAAACTTTTAATTTTTAAATCTTGATCAGTTGACTTAATTCACTCTTTCAAGCAGCAAGCCAGTCAAGAAACCCTCCACCTTCCCCCATTACCTCCTGTAGCTTGATCTCATCTGGCTGGAGGATGTTGAGGACCCCGCTGCTCCGGATCTCAGGAAGATCCTGCCATAAGTTGAACCTGGAGTTGGAGTTCCTCAGCAAACTGATTTGTGGTGGACCTTTGCTTTCGGTTGTATTTGTAGGTTCTGCTTCAGATGGAGTTTCCTCGCTGGGAGACCTCTCCTCAGGGTCTGTCTGTGAATCCTGCAGTCGTCTGGTTTCAATCTCCTGGCGCGTAGATTTATCTCGATATTCCTGATACAAGAGCCCTAGGAGGCAACATTAACAGGTCTGAGAGGTTACAGCCGAAGAAAAGAGTAGAAATGTATTGCAGGAAAGGATATTTGTTTTGTATTAGTTCATCTCAGCAGAGGTGAGGAAGATCCCTTCCATGCTGAGCAAAAAAAGCCAATTATGGCACTCCTATTTCAGCCAGAAGTGGAAACTATAAATGGAAGGCCATTTCTAAATCTAAAGTGTTGTCAACAATCTGCTCTCACAAAACATTTAGTAACACAGTCAGATGAATCCATGATCAATCACAAGACAGAAAAGAAGTGGTTTGTTATTTGCCAGGCTTTTAAATGTTTCTTTTAAACCTTGATTTTCTCTGCAGTATTATTATGTTACAAGTTATATAGACTGATAGGCATGTTTAAGTCTGTGCCTGGAAATGTAATATTGCGTATATTGAAACTACTTTAAACGAGCAATTTGATGGCCCTGAAAACCCTTAAGGAGGAAACACTGAGCTGCTGTTAAGGCATTGGACAGGTGAAGCACTGGGACAAGAAGCTACAGGTACTAGTTTGTTTTGGCTAGTTAATGGTTAGCCTTGGACATGTTGCTTAATATCTTTCTGTTTTCCTGTTCAGTTTCTATGATGACTGAAGATATGAAATTAACATTCCAAAGTTACCTGACTGCACAGCATGAAGGAAGAGGCTCTGAATTCACACCATCTTGAGGCACATCAGTCACAAGAGGTGTCTCCTGAGTTTCAGGTACTAACTTCAGGAGCAGATGAAATTCCATAGAAGTTGCCCCCACCCCTGATTTCAAATGACAGCACGAAAAAGTAGGAATCCTGAAATTCCTTGGCCATCTTTAGAAGATCCTTTGTCTCTCCTAGGGCTTTCTAACTGTCCCATTTCTCTTTCTGAGCCATCTGTAGGACCAGGAATATTAATTGCTTGAATATAAAATGCTATTTTGAAGATATGAAAAGACAAGAGAGCATGATCCTGCTCTGAGTCACTCTCCTCACTCAAATTGAAGCAGCACAATTTACATTATCTCCCTTGGTTTATACTTGAATTGCAAAGTGTAACATGAATGAACAAAGAGAAAAGTCCTTGATGTTAAAAAAAAACCCCTACATAATTTATTTTGTCTGAATCATTAGGGGTCAAAATCTATCTGGTCACATGCATGCATGATATTGGATCTCAGAAGCAGATTCTGTGTGTAGTAAGGTGAGAGATAACTGGGTCAGGAGTTTGTCTAGGGAGGGCAGAAACGTAGATGTTACTGCCTATTAAATCTCTGGGCCAGTTTTCATGAGGCTCTGTACCAGTGACTGTTAAAACTTTATCAGAATATGCTGGGGAAAAGCACAGGCACAAGGACAGCTTTAGCGCAGTCTGTGAGTGTATCCTCTTATCTGTTCTCCCTTGAAAGATGTTCAACACCGGATTAAAACAGCAGTACGGGTAGCTGTGCCTAGGGTACCATACAGTCTTCTGTTAGCTTCCTACACCATAACTCAAGAAAGGAGACTTCCCCTGAAGTTTTGCATGCTGCTGCTACTTCTCTAATTTCTACATCAGCTAGGCTTATATGGCTTTTATGAGCATTTCTGCCTGTTATTCAGCATCAGTGAGGGTGCTGTGGATGTCGTGGGGTGGAAAGGCTCCTTCAGGAATGGAGCAGAGAGCCTGCTAAATCGGAGCTGCTTTCAGTGGTACTGATCTGTAAGCTCAGCCTGTGCTCAAAGGCTCTGGTGTGGTAGGGCACTGGGCCCTTTCTGCCCCACCAAACTGCACACCAGAGAGCAGGATGGGCAAGGAAGTAACACCCTGCAGCAGCACGGGCAGCACTTGACTCAAGGGAAAACATGCTGGGAAACTGAAATATAATCTATCTGTTTAACTCATACTGGAGACAACTATACTTGCAGTGTCTGACTGTACAGCCATATTGTGCTGGTGGGGCTGCCCTGCAAGTCAGAGGCAATTAAGGATATTTTGTGTAAAGCGGATTTAGTGTCCCTTGTGCAGATCTGGAGAGCAGCCCTTTAAAAAAAGATCCTCAAGTCAAACTTCTCCCTTGCTTTAAGGAATTAAAATCCAGACAATGAAACCTGATTTTGTTTCCAGGTTCCCTGTCTGACCAACCAAACCGATAAGACCTACAGAGCCTTCAGTGGCACGTAAAGGCAAATACGGACACGGGAAAATCTGATTGACTAAAAGCATCTTCCACCACAAGTTGTTTGGAAATTACAAGGTAACTCATTTTAAGGAGAGAGCTGAAGAGAGACTGGCTGAAGCTCTGCCACAGACAGCAATATGGGGAGGAAGTGGAAAGGTGATACCAGAAGAAAGACAAAAGACAGGTAGATGTTTAGGCAGAAGAAGGGTGGGAAGAAACAGAGGGTTGTGCTAGCAAGGATAAAAGATATCCTCGCTAAAAGGTCCATCCATATGTTGGTAAAGAGGTTACAATGGGTGGAGCAAAGGCTTAGATGAGACAGAGGGAGATGAAGCAGGAGATGGTGACTGCACAGGACTTGTGGCGTAACAGATGCAAGGTCAGGGAACAGGCTTTTGACATCTTGAAAGCAGAGCAATACATCTGGGAACAGATTGAATGTGTAGAAAGAAGCTGGGATCAGTAGTTGAATGTGACTCAGTAGACATGATGATTTAGTAAACACATTTAGTAAGTAAACAAGTACAAAATGCCAGAGACCTGTACAAGCTCCATTCATTGCTTAATGTCCCAACTGTCCCTATTGTGACCTGGCTAAAGGTAACCACACGGTCAGAGCATGGGTTTGGTGTCACCTGTTGACTTAAATGGTTAAGGATCTTCCTATGGGGTGTTTACATCGTTTTTATAGTACATAATAGGCTTTTTCCTCTGTGTTTATTCCATTTAATTTTGCTGTCACAGTCTCCCTTCCCATCTCTCTCAAAAGCTGGGAGGGGAATTGAAAAATGAGTTACTAATTGTGGAAAATGCTTGCCTTAGAGAGTTCGCAGTGCTCTTAAAGTAAACGTTATTACATTGAAAGCTATGTAAAATCTCAGGAGGTCCAGAGAAATTCTCTGCTCCAGTTTCGGGCAAAAAGTCCATTAATGCCTCAAAGGCAGGAGGGAGGGAAGGGAGCTAGTGTGCTCCAGCCATTTGAAATGACCTCTCTGCTGGGGATTAGCATAGCATCTCTGGTTGTCAAAACCCTGTCTCCTCCATCAAGGTGCAACAGACCTACTTGCAGTTACACTGATGCGTGCAGAGCTATCACACAGCTTCCCTCTGATACACAGCACAAAAATATATATGAATATAGCAACCAAGTTGCTTTGAAGTCCTGCTGGTTCTAGTATTTTTATCATGCCTCTTAGTGGCACATTCCCAGTAAACTGACAACGTATTGACACATCTGCCTTAGGAGATTAGTACCTACACAGCCAAAAGCAAGTAACAGATCTGCCAACATCCATGCAAATTGTTCACCACTTTCCTCCAGAAGGCCCTGAACTTGGCCGTTTTGTGTGACAGATGCTGGCAGGCTGCTGGTTTCACACCAGCCACTTTACCCGGCACTGTCCTACTGGCATCAGGTGCTCCAAGAATCAGCCCTGTCCATCACGACCTGACACCAAACTGCAGCCACTCTCCTCTCCCAGAGACAGTGTGACAAGCCTCCTCGTTCCTGCTAGGGAGGTTTGCCTCGCTGCTCATGAGAGTTATCTATCCAGTTTTCCCATGCAAAGTGCTACATTCCTTCCCTCTAGATTCAAGTATCTTGAAGTTTCATTTTTCTGAAAATGAACTGTTTAAAAATGAAGCTTCTATATTCCCACCGTAAAACCTGCCTCAGGATGGGGGTTAACTTTGCAGTTGCCCAAACGTCTCTGAGGAATGTCGTAATTCAGATGTGGGAAACCAAGAAACAAGCTGTGAAGGTCCTCTCTGCATCCCACAAAAAAAACTTCAAAAATACCACGGGAGCAAAAGCGTAACAGTCCTCTCCTCCACAATCACACAGATACCCTCAACTCTGCCTTCACAAAGCGACCACAAATGATGTTACTCCTTCTACCTTGCAAATGCCACGCCAGTGGCTGTTACAAACACACGCTGACCTCAGTGCACACAGCTAACGTCCAACAGGACAGTTGACCCAGTGCTTCAGTCTTACCCCTTTTTGAGTATGCAAAATCAGATTTCAGCAGAAAGTTTGCTGTAGCCTTAAGATTAACTGCTTCATAACTACAAGAAGTAACCGTTATTTATGAATGGGGGTAAAGCTGCTCAGTGACAGCATTAAATCTCCTGCCAGCCAGCGTGCAAACCCGATGCCCCTAACTACAGCAAAAAGCCCCCGCTAAGGCAACGGTTATGTTTTACACCGACAGCGCGCGGTTTTCCCAGCAAGGACAGAGAGTTGGGGTCCCGCCACACAACCGCCTTATCCCTGCCTGAGGCTCCCT